TTCTCCTCCTCGGGGTGCAGGTGGGTGTTGTCCAGGTACTTGGCAGTGGTGTCCACGCCCAGTTTCACCCGGTCACGGGCTTTGTTGAATGTGTGAATCTTCATGATGGACACAGCCACTGAGAGAATGGCCTCCTTGACGCCAGCCTCCCGCTGGTCCCTGCTCAGGGTGGCCCCGTGAGTGGGCAGGTGAAGTACATGCCGGGCACCGCAAGGTGAGCTGAGCCTTCCTCCTTGGCCTCAGGGACCGCGTTAGTCCCTTGTGCCTTGGGGCTCCTGCGGACAGTGGCCTGGGCTCGCAGCTCCTCCCTCACCTGGTTCCCCATGGAGTCCTGCGACTTTGGACCCCAGCCCGGGGCTGCTTCTGCTCCAGCTGCCGCCATCTCTGCCTCATCGGTGGGTCCCTGGAGGGGCTGCCTCAGAGCCAGCTGGTTGGGTTTCTCTTCTTCATGTTGGCGGGAGGGGGGGGGGCAGCGGTAGTGGGAGAGGAGCAGGGCACAGCCCAGTCAGGATGGGCTCAATTATTATATTCATAGGAAAAATATGGGCACAGAGAAGTGCATTTTGGACAGGTTCAAAAATCTAAGATAGTTTAATTTTTCATTCTCTAAATGTTCATGAAAGTAAATATAAATTTCCCATCAATGAGTATGATGACACTAGGGCCTAGAAGATTCTGAAGAGCTACGAACATAACAGTTACCCGGAAACCATCCAAAATATACAGGGAGTTATACGACCTCAAAATGAAAAATGCAAACGTCATGTTTTCTCTGATGTGTACTGGCTAATATAGAGAGTATCAAACATATTTATTGTATATGAGTGAAACTGTTATGTTGGGATTTGATTATTTATAGTGCTTGTCTATACTCCCATGAACAGTAGTTTTTCTACTTTTGACTTGTTGAACTCTTTATTTAGTGGTGCATTATGCCTGTGACTGTAAAGTAAATAAAAATGTGATCCCAAAAATTCAAAAAGAAAGTAAGGAAGAGGGAAGGAGATAAAAATCATTACATCCTTCGAATTCTACCTTTGAAACACATGAAATCTGTTCTCTTTATATTAGTTAAAATAAATTATTAAAAACATATGATCCATTCTATTGAGTGTGACAAGGTATTTAATTCTGCCCTGTGACTTGCCTGTTTTTTCCTCAGAAAGTGTTTTTGTCATATTGTGCTCAACAGTAGATGATATGTAAAATGCAACTGAGAAAGGGATATCAAAGAACTGTGCATTCTCTTTGAACCAGACTGTATTTAGCTGTTTTCCCATGCCATTAACCAGGAGCTGGATTGTCAGCCAGGACAATAATCAGAGATCATATGGGGTGCTGTCACCATGGGCAGAAGATTTACCTGCTCTGCCACAATGCTGGTTCCTCATGCACTTTAATGGTATGTGTTCTTTTATGAAGTGTGTTTACATAATTTCTTTTTTATTGGTTTGTCTTATTGTTGAGTTATAAACATAAATAGACAATACTTTCAGTTGTCAAGAGTACTAAAATTCCAACAATGTGCCTTTTCACTCTCACTATTCTCATTATTAAAGATAAATTTTCAGCAATGATAACCCATAAAATCATATGATAAAGGAAGACTAGAGACTGTTCCCAGACAATAAATCAATTTAATTCCAGATGCCATCTTAGCTTGATTTATCTGGTACTCTAAAAGCATAGACCACATGCTATGTCATAAAATAAGTCTCAGCAAATTCAAAAACTTTGAAATAATATCATGCATCATCTTAGATGAGAAATGGAATAAAGATGGAATTCAACAACTCAGGACTCTCTAGATCATATGGAAACACATTGAGACTGAACAACATGCTTTTGAATTAACAGTGGGTTATAATGAAATCAATACAGCATATAAAAAGGAATGGGATACAGCAAAAGCAGTGTTAAGGGTGAAGTTTACAACAATCAGTGCTTACATGAAAAAATTGGAAAGATACCAAATAAATGAGCTGTCAGTGCATCTCAAGGACCTAGAAAAACAACAACAAATCAAACCCAAAATTAATGAGAAAAGAAATTATTCAAATGAGAGAATAAACAAAAATGAAATCAGAAAAATGATAAAACAATTGGTGAAATAAAGAGCTGGTTTTTTGAAAAAATAAACAAAATAGATCTACCACTGGAGCAACTAACAAAAAAAAAAAATGGGGCAGACCCAAATCAATAAAACTAGAGGTGAAAAAGGATATGTAAGAACAGATGACACAGAAATAAAAAGAGTCATCATAAAATATGACAGTTTTGACAAAACTATAAATTTAAAGAATGAAACAGGTCATTGCACTCCAATCATAGGATGAAAAAAAAAATCACCATGCAAAGGCAGATCATAATTAAACTGCATAAACCCAGAAATAAAGATAAATGTTAAAAGCCCTGTAAAGAAAACAATGGGTGTTTTTTTTAACAGAGGATCAATTGAATGTTAACAGCATACATTGTTGGCATGCGTACAAATTACATGACTCTCAGAAACATCCTTCAAGTATTGAATGAAAATAGTGTTCATGTAGTATTTTTCATATGAGGAAAATATCTTTCAAAACCCAAAACGAAGAGTATGTTCATGTTAAAAATATTTTACTTGATTGTGATTGACATACAAATTGGAGAATTTGGTGTAAAATATTATATTACATTTAAAAAGAATACTAAAATCATCCTAATATCTTTAATCAAGCCACTTTAGATAATAATCTTAAAAGAATTATTCAAGTCTCTAAAGATATATACACTAAAGCAAATTTCTAAAAGGTTAGCTTGCAAAGCTAGTAATGGCTGAGAAATCCAAAATTCAGGGTGTAGCTGTCTCAAAATTCAGGAAAACACACAGACTCCAACTGTACAGGAGGAGAGTGAAGAGGAAGAGGTGGATGAAATGGGTGTGGAAGTTAAGGATTTAGAGTAGGTCATGTCACAAGCAAATGTGTCAAGAGCAAAAGCAGTCCGAGCCCTGAAGAACAACAGTAATGACAATGTAAATGCTATTATGGAATTAACAATGTAACCATATGAAAAATAAAGATCTTTTTTGGTGTTTCAAAGAGGAACTGCAGCTTGGTTTGAAATTTGTGCTGTTTCTATCATTAATAAAGTTATGGCTTCTTGTTGGATGAACTCAGTAGGTGCTTGGTCTCTTCCCCCAAGAAAAGCCAGGAAGCTTCTTATTTGGTGTGGTCATTAAGATGCAGTTTGGAAAACCACATCCCATTGTCAATGTGCTTAATTTTAGTACCAGCTACACTATTTTTGATCCAGCTTCCTGCTAAGGCACACCCTACAAGGCAGCAGATAATGGCTCAAATTGGTGTTGGTTCCATAACACCCCCATGAAAGTCTTCAGATGGATTCCAGCCTTCTATCCCTTTCAAATAAAATGAAAATAAGCAAAAAAATTTATTTACTTAAAAGTCAGAATGACAGAGAGAGGGAGAGACAGAGACATATATTTGCTGGTTTTCCCCCTGGTATGCCTGCGACAGTCAGCCATGTGCCAGACTGAAGCCAGGAGCCAGAAACTCCATTCAGTTTTCCTGAGTGGGTGTGAGAAACCCAAGAATTTGAGCATTATTTGCTGGCTTTCATGTTAGGTTGCAGGAAACTGCATGAGAGGAATGGTGTGTCTGGGACTCTAACCAAGCACTCCTATACAGGGTGCTAGTGCCCCACACAGCAGCTTAACCCACTGCACCACCATGCCTGTCCCATGAAGATCATGTTTTCTTATTGCATTCAGGATTATAAGCTTATTTCTTTCTATGCCTTGCTTTATTTGAATGCTCTTTTCCCCTCTCTTTTTTCTGATGGAGTAGATTTCTTGCCTGTTTCCTCTGTGTTTTTGGTTTGTTTCTTTAGTCTTTTCAAACTATAACCCTTTTTTAAATTATAATATTCAAAAAATTGGTTATTAAATACAAAATATAGGGATGACATATTTTAAACAGGTATCAAGTTATAAGCCCAAGAATGATATACTTTTTTTTTTTTTGACAGAGTGGACAGTGAGAGAGAGAGACAATGAGAAAGGTCTTCTTTGCCATTGGTTCACTCTCCAATGGTCGCTGCGGCTGGCGCACTGTGACCAGTGCACCGCGCTGATCCGAAGGCAGGAGCCAGGTGCTTCTCCTGGTCTCCCATGGGGTGCAGGGCCCAAGCACTTGGGCCATCCTCTACTGCACTCCCGGGCCACAGCAGAGAGCTGGCCTGGAAGAGGGGCAACCGGGACAGAATCCGGCGCCCCGACTGGGACTAGAACCCGGTGTGCTGGCGCCGCAGGTGGAGGATTAGCCTAGTGAGCCGTAGTGCCGGCCAAGAATGATATACTTTAATACTAAAGTTGCTCTGATTGTTAGTTTACACTGGGATCCTTTTCTTACAACTCATTTATATTTTTCACCATTTTATTTTTTCTTGTCAACTATCTTTCTCCTAATAAATTTTGTTTTATATTTATTTCTTTCCTATCCATTACCCATAAAAATTATTTTTGACATTCATTAAATATAATGTGAGGCTCTCAGAAGTTCATTCAGTTCCATTCCTTTGTCATATTTATAATATTTTAATGTATTGACATATTTTAGAAGCCTCCTAAAATGTTTAACTCTACTTTTTTATTCATCCTTATAGTTCAGATACTTTCTTTTTATTTTGCTGTGTCTGTTCAATGGTATGAACTGCCACTTTGAAACTCTTTATGCTGTATTTCACAGTTTGGCATTATATATATATTTCCTATTTTACACCTTAAGAAAATTTTCAATATAATTCTATATGATTGGTCACTGGGGACATTAGTGGCATTGGTGCAGTGGGCTGACCAGCCTACCCAGCATATTTCCTGATCTCTGTTTAACTAAAATATTTTTGAGATGGTCTCCAAGGGTCTCTGTAGTTACTGTAATTATTTGGAGACTCTCTGTCAAAAAGTATTCAGCTCTGAAAGGTTTGTGTTATTTCACCAGGGAAACAGCCATGATCAGCACAGGAGCTTTCTGGGGGATAAGGGAATACAGACTGGAGAGTGGAATAAGGGAATTCTGAGTACCAGGCATTTCTCCAGACATAGAAATGGAACTACAATTATGTAAGTATTTCCTTGTTATTTTGGTTATTGAACATATATATACTTATACACATATATGTTTATATGGATTCATATATGTGAACATAATGTTTACAACAATAAATTCATATATATATATATCTTTGTTTTGTTCTATTATAAAACAAATTGCATTGAATTTGAATATGTGGTTCTGAAATTGTTAATTGACACATAAATGTATATATACTTAGGTGGCATTATGTGGTTTTTCTATAGACATATACATTCTGTAATGTTCAAATCAGGGTAAACATCAATATCCTCATTTGTCATTTTATTATATTGAAAATATTCACAATCCTTCTTTTAAACTTTTTTTAGAAAAATATATGGTGTATTTTTATGATCTATAGTCATCGCACTGTATCATGCAATGGAACACTGGAAGATCTTACTCTTAACTATAACTTAGTACCTATTAACCAATCTTTTCTCATTCATTTGTCACCCCTGCTCTTCTCAGATTCTAGTAACCACTGTTGTACCCTCAGTGAGTATGAGAACAACTTTGTTAGATCTACACATGTTTTTCTGGGCTTGAATTAGTTCTCAATTGAGAAGGAATCTCACTTCCATCCATATTGTTTTAAATGGTTAAAATATACTTGGGAGACTTCCAATATATTAGAGTAGGGAGGGAGCTTACTGCTCTGGTCCAGGAAAAGATAGTTTAAAAAAAGTGGAGACTGCAGTCTCAGGAAGAGTTCAGGAGAAAATGCAGAGGAAACTCTACATAGATTAGAGGTACATGATGAATTATTTATATTATTTCTTTTTAGTATCCAGAAATTGAGCCAGCAGTTCTTATGTTTCCTCATTCAGTGGAGCGTGGGAAAACTTGAAGTACTTCCCCTTGCATAATGTTTTTCCTGTAGGGTAAAACTTACAAGGAGATTCATTATAGAAATACAGATATTTATCACCTCTGGTACAATATACATAAAATTTACATAAAAATACATAAAATTTACACAGTTTCTTTTTCTTCTGGACATAGGCATCTTGTCAAATTTACATTGGTCTCTTTTAAAACATTTCTTTTCAAGAAAATATTTACAGATCTGTTTTCCTTTGCGTCCCACAGTATGTTGGTTGATGAATCCCTGACTCATTGTCACATGCTGCTGCTTCTCTTCAGGTTTACTGTCCTCTTCCTGTGAGCCCCTTTTCCTTGATAATGCAATGGATTTTTTTGTTTCCAATGCCAGGCCAATTCTGCTTCATGTTCTTGTGTTTATCATTCTTTTAACCAGCTTGAAAAGTTTTATTTTCTGTTTAGCAGCTTGCTGGCTATCTTTTGCTTCCTCTTTTTTTATTTATTCTTCAGGAAATGGTAATGGTTGCATGACATTTGCCATCTCTGTAGCTTGCATATACTGCTGAAGCTCCTTGCAAAAATATCTCTGGTTCCTGACTACAGATATCACTGTTACTATAATACATCATAGTCCTTGCTTCTTGATTTTCTATGTAGCAAAGTTTTTGGTGGTGATGTAGAGTTTCTGATGTGCCATGCTTTTTCTGGGACTTGCTCACTCTCCAGTTTTACTTACCATTTATTTTCTCTTCTTGTGTCTTCAATGCCTGAATAATATATTTCATCTTTGGTTCTTTCACCAGAATCCAAGGTCTGTTTTTTGCTAAGGGCCAGATTGAGGGGCTTTGAGAAGAGGTCTTCAAAATCCATCACCCAACCAAGGGCTTCTCTCTCGCTGTAACTACAAAATAAACCACAAATGCATGAGGGTACCGGCAGGTGGGCCCACCTGCAGGCTCTGCATAGGGCAGGCATGTCTCACCCAGGTGCATGCACCACACCACCCTAGATGGGTCTTATTTTTCAATCCATTCAGCCAGTCTGTATCTTTTAACTGGAGAACTGAAGCCATTTACATTCAGGGTGACTATTGATGAACGTTGATTTGGCCCTGTCATTTTTTCCATAAAGATTCCTATTGTTTACTATGGATTTCTTTCGTGCTTCTCCTGGGGAGATTTCTGCGTTTTCATTCTTTGATAATGATGGCTATCTTTGTTTCTGTGTGTAGCACATGCTTAAGCATCCTTTGTAAGAGTGGTTATGTATTGACAAATTATTTCAATTTCTTTTGTTACAGAAGGTCTTCACCTTCCTTCGTAAATGCAAACTTTGCAGAGTACAGTATTCTGGGTTGACAGTTTTTTTTTTCTTTTGAGACTTGGTCTATATCACGTCATTCCATCTAGCCTGTAGCAGTTCTGATGAGCGCACATGTGTGTCTAATTGGTGATCTTCTTAAAGTAATCTAGCATTTCTTTCTTGCCAATTTAGAATATTTTCTTGATGTTTTACTGGAGAAAGCTTTTTGTGGTGAAAATTTTTTCTGGTCATTTCTGTTAGTTCTATGTGCTTCCTCTACTTGACCATCCCTTTCTTTCTCTGGATTGGGGACGTTTTCTGCAATTATTTCACTAAATAGGCTTTCTGTTCCTTTCTCTCTTTCCACTCCTTCAGGCACGCCTAAAAGACCCATATGGTGGGTCTTTGGTAGTATCCCATGGATCTCCAACACTGTTTTTAAATTTTCTATTTTCTTCTCTTTTTTTTGTCTGACTATAATATTTCCAAAATTTGTCTTCTAGTTCGGATATTCTTTCTTGTGTCTCATCAAGTTTACTGTTAATGCTTTCCACTGCGTTTTTATTTGATCCTTTAAATTCTTCATTTCTAATATTTCATTTTGATTTCTGTTTAAGTTCTCAATTTCTAAGGAAAAATCTTTGTTCATGTCATGTATAGTTTTCTTTAGTTCATGGATTTTTTGAGTACTCCTATGATTAATTTTCTAAATCCCATTTCTGGCATTTCCTTGATCTCTTCATCTTTGCATTCTAGTGTGGAAATGCTGCGTTCCTCCTGGGCAGGGGTCATCGTGACTTCCTTATTCTTGTTTCCTGAATTTCGGCTCTTATTTTTCTGCATTTGTAGAGATGATTTTTAATTTTTTTCTTCTGATTGCTTGTATGTTTGGGGCTATTCTTCTGTGTGGCTTAATGGAATGTCTGCCCTTTCAGTGGATACTAGGTAGTGTGTGGTGGGTATGGCCAGGGGGCTCTAGGGTTGGGTGAGTCTCCAGGGTAACACCCCAGTTGGTCGTGGTAGAACTCAATACCCATCTATACCCCACACCTTTTCATGTAGCCATTGAGTCCCCAAGGTCTCAGCACACAAGGCTCCCATAGTCACTGAGTCCACAGGGCACTGCTGGTGTGGGTACCCCTGTGTCCCTTGTAGCTGCCCAGCCACTTCCTAGCCAAGTTGTCAGTGGGGTTTGTAGGCCATTCCCTCCACTCAAAGCTCTGGATCAGACATGCACACTAGAGCCACTGGGCACATACCTACCCACCACTGCTGCCAGGACTGCATTCAGATGCCCATCTCACTGAGCTGTTATGTGCATGCCTTCAGGCTTCCATAGTTGTTGCCCTGTTTTAAAATGATTCCTCGCCTATCTCAGCTGGATCACAGCTTGTTTTGGAGAGAGTGATTTGATTTGAACCATTCCCTCCACTTCCACTAGGACCATAGGTGAGCACCAGAACTGCCAGCCCTCCAGGCTCCAGTCTGGACCCATGCCACACTCTCTCTCCAGCTCTATACCTGCAGATTGATGGAGTCTGCCCTCCCCTGCATCTCAAGAATGCTGCCAGCTTTGCCATTCCGCCACTGCAGCTGTGCTGGCTATGCGTCAGCACTCACCATGCAGATTCACACCATTTTGCCTCCTCCCATGGGGCTTCCCAGGGGGTTTTCTCTCCAATTCCCTGCCAAGAGTGTGCCTCCTACACTTTTCTCCTCACTGTTTATCCATAGCCTTGCAAATTGCACTGCTCCCTAATCCACCATTTTTTCCTCTGTCAGAATATTTTCTTTTTATATCTATTTCATAGTTGGTATCACAGATCTCAAAGATGCTTTTATGATTCTGATCATTCTTACAATGTGTTGCTGTGAAAATAATAGAATGCCTGGTATTTTATGGCTTTGTTGACTGGGCTTGGTAAGATTCCAAACAGGAGGAAAGAACAAGTTGAAACTCTGAGGGATTCCAATATTGCAGATGAGGGAGAGAGTTAACTATTCTTTTTTTTTTTTTTTCAGAATAACTTTTTATTTATATGGTAATATAACACATTCTATTTCTATTATACATTTAATTCCAGAGTAATACAACATCTTAAAGTTATTCTGCTTATACCTTCAGAGCTCTTTAAGGAATGTAATGTGAAATTTCATTTCTTGTTTTTCAAATTCATACACTTTTTTTTTTACTTTTATTTAATGAATATACGTTTCCAAAGTACGAATAATGGATTACTATGGCTTCCCCCCCATACCGTCCCTCCCACCCACAATCCTCCCCTTTCCCACTCCCTCTCCCCTTCCATTCACATCAAGATTCATTTTCGATTATCTTAATATACAGAAGATCAGCTTAGTATACATTAAGTAAGGATTTCAACAGTTTGCTCCCACACAGAAACATAAAGTGAAAAATAATAGATGATTTTTTTTAATGATGATGAAATCAGATCAGACCTATTGTCATGTTTAATCCCAGTGAGAGTCAAGTTGGGAGTTGATAGTTTCTTTTCTTTACTTTTTTTTTTTTTTTTTTTTACAGAAGATCAGTTTAGTATGCATTAAGTAAAGATTTCAACAGTTTGCACCCCCATAGAAACACAAAGTGAAATATATTATTTGAGTACTCATTATAGCATTAAATCTCAATGCACAGCACATTAAGGACAGAGATCCTACATGAGGAGTAAGTGCACAGTGACTCCTGTTGTTGACTTTACCAATTGACACTCCTGTCTATGGCATCAGTAATCTCCCTATGCTCCAGTCATGAGTTTCCAAGGCTATGGAAGCCCCTTGAGTTCTCCGACTCTTATCTTGTTTAGACAAGGTCATAGTCAAAGTGGAGGTTCTCTCCTCCCTTCAGAGAAAGGTACCTCCTTCTTTGAAGACCTGTTCTTTCCACTGAGATCTCACTCACAGAGATCTTTTGCCAGAGTGTCTTGGCTTTCCATGCCTGAAATACTCTCATGGGCTTTTCAGCCAGATCTGAATGCCTTTAGGGCTGATTCTGAGGCCAGAGTGCTATTTAGGGCATCTGCCATTCTATGAGTCTGCTGAGTATCTCACTTCCCATGTTGGATCACTCTCCCCTTTATTTATTCTATCGGTTAGTGTTAGCAGGTACTAGACTTGCTTATGTGCTCCCTTTGACTCTTAGTCCTTTCATTATGATCAATTGCGAACTGAAATTGATCACTTGGACTAGTGAGATGGCATTGGTACATGCCACCTTGATGGGATTAAATTGGAGTCCCCTGGTATGTTTCTAACTCTACTATTTGGGGCAAGTCAGCTTGAGCATGCCCCAAATTATATATCTCTTCCCTCTCTTATTCCTACTCTTATGTTTAACAGGGATCACATTTCAGTTAAATTTCAACACTTAAGAATAACTGTGTATTAATTACAGAATTAAATCAGTCATATTAAGGAGAGTTAACTATTCTAATATAGGGGAAGATGATTTTTTAAAAAAGTGGAGAGAGGGAAATCTCCAGGAAGTATTAGTGAGAAAACTTCAGAGAAAACTCCATGTAAATTAGAGGGACACTGTGGATCCACGTGGAGTGTGTGGATGCACAAAACTCTAGTTAAGGAATGGCCAAATTACTTATACAGAGGTTTTTCTAAAGAGGAAATCCAAATGGGCAACAGACACTCTGAAAAACATTCTCAGGATCACTAGCTTTCATGGATATGCAAATCAAAACTACAATAAGGTTTCACTTCACCCCTGTGAGAATGGCTTTCACACAGAAATCAACAAACAACAAATGCTGGTGAGGATGCAGGATGTGGGGATGTACCCTATTCCACTGTTGGTGGAAATGTAAACTGTGGAAGTCAATATGGAGATATCTCTGAAATCTGAATATAGACTTACCATATGACCCAGCCATCCCACGCTTGCAAATTTACCCATGGGAAATGAAATGAGCATATTAAAGAGTTATCTTTCATGTTTATTGCAGCTCAATTCACAATAGTTAAGGTATGGAATCAACCCAAATGTCCATTAACTGAAGACTGGATACTGCACAGCAGTAAAAAAGAAATCCTGCCATTTGCTGCAAAATGGATGAAACTGGAAAAGATCATACTTAGTGAAATAAGCCATTCCCAAAAGGACAAATACTATATGTTCTCCATAATCTGTGCTAACTAATAGCACATCTAAAAGGAAATCTAAAGGAGTGACATTAACAATTTGAGATGCAGTGATTTTGAACACCCCTGTCTCAACTGTTGAGGAACATTTTTTTCATAATATTTGTGGAACTTTTTACTTAGTATAGATTTAATCTTTTGTGTATGTTGATAATAGATCTTAGTAAAAAAAATAATAGGATAGGAACAGGATAAGAAGCAGGAAGAAGGGTGTGAGTGCAGGTTGGAGGGCAGGTATCATGGGAAGAAGTACTATGCTCCTAAAGTTTTATTTATGAAATGCATGAAGTTTTTATACATTAAATAAGAGATTTCTGGAAAAACAAGAATTTCTACTGATCTTTTTTAATTAGAATCATTGCACAGCATAAAACCACTGCCCCCCAAAACCTTCTTTAACCACGTTCTTATTTCGACCAAACTTTTTAACATATTACATGATACCATTTATATGAAAATGCAAATACATATGGAGATATATAGTATTAGTTACATGGGGCTGGTGGCTGGAAGTAGAGAAAGACTTCAGAAGTTCATAGTGATGATTCCTCACCTGTATATATTTTCTAAAAGTCATTGAAGGGTACTGTTAGAATGCTTGAATATTTTATGTATAAGCTGTATCTGAAGATTTTTTTTATTTTTTTATTTTTATTTTTTTGACAGGCAGAATGGACAGTGAGAGAGAAAGACAGAGAGAAAGGTCTTCCTTTGCCGTTGGTTCACCCTCCAAGATTTTTTTTTTAAATTAAACCAGTGTTTTGTTCATTTTACCCTTAACAGAAGAGCAAATGATCATTGTTTTAATTTTATCTAGAAAAGTATTATAAAATATCAAAAAATTTTATATAACATATATCTAACAAAACTAGGTATGTGCTGTCTGTATGCTAATTTTCTTTCTTCACCAGCCTATGAGTTAAGTACAATAATAGCCTTCATTTTACAGATGAAGGACACTGACACATGGTTTTACATTTTGCCTTAAGTAACACAAATTGTAATTGGTAGAGGTAGAATTTGAATCCCCACTACGTCTAGAGCTTAGCTGGTGCTATCTGGTAGGATGATCCCATGGATATGCCATGCATTCTTCCTCAGTGCTTTTGCCCATGCAGTTTACTTTGCAAGAATACACTTGCATCCCTCTCTTGCAGTGATAATTCTTATACATTTTGAAGTGGAGCTTCACTCTGTTTTCTGGAGGCATTCTTTTACCCTCTTGGTACAGGACAGCTTCTCTCATCAGGCAGTGCCTTTGAACCTGAACTCTGCATTTCAAATCAGCCATCATTTGTGTTCACACCCTCAAGTCCTTATTGATCGCCCATCTGGAATAGGTGACAGTTGCAGTCTTATTCTTCAACTGCTGACCAGCACCATGCCTGGGATCTCATACCTACTGTTTACCCAGCACTATCTGATCTGAACTTGCATCAGGCAGTAGTTAGTGAACAAGTTAGTTTAGTGGTCATTTGTAAATGCCATCTATGGATCCCTTCTTTGTGCATTTCTACCAAACTTTAAAATTTCATTTTCTACAATCAAAATAAATTCAAATAGAAAAATAGTTTATGCCACTTACATTTGAGGTCTGAAGTATAACTAAATTACTTTCTTACTTTGGAAGATGTCTATACATGCATGAATTATTAGAAAAGGGTGTTTTCTTTCATACTTAGAAGACTGAATAAACTGTCATCAGAAATTACTTGCTTTCCCACTCTCTCATGTACATATTTCTTCTTCTTTTTCTTATATATGATTGGTCTTCAAAAAGTTCATGGAAATGCGTATTATTTAAAAAAAAAAAAAAACTGGTTTGGGCGCTGAGGACAACATCCGTGGCGGAGGTGTGGCCATAGCGCCAACACAAGAGGGCAGTCCCATGATGGATGATGGCTTCATCCCGTTGGCTCTGAGGACCAGAGAGCAGTGATTGTGACGCATGGCAGGGGAGGGTGAGCGGTGCTGCCTGTCCTGGGCCAGGGGAAGCTGTGGCGGGGTATGGACGGGAAGAAACGTGAGGTGGCCTTGCAAGAGGCCAAGACGGGTTGCAGAGGGTGGGATCTACAGGGGCCGCCCTGGGGCCCTTACCTGGAATTTTATGGCATTGGCGCTCTTCAAGGGCTCCTGGGGTAGGGTTAAGGACCCTGCGGCCCTGGGGGAGGCCTCCTGAGGGTCTTGAACGAGATGGGTGGGGGGAGGGATAGGGCAGGTTGGGGATCCCAGGGCTCAAGGACCTGAGTTTAGGGCCTAGGGGGGGCTGGTGGGGGAGGAGGTGGGCACTCCTGGGTTAGAGGCGAATGTGAGGGAGCTGCTGGCGGAGGAATGAATGGCTGCCGGCTGCCGGGGTGCTCATTAGGATGAGCGGGAACTTGGGGCGACCGCGGGGAGCAGGGATTGAGAGGGGTGAAGTGGGAACGAGGAGGCCAGTGAAGGGCTTGGCTGCGCGCGGGCGCTGTACATAAAACGGTGAGGAGAAAACGTGAGCAAAAGGCTGGGGAGGAAGAGGCAGAGGAGATGGGGGTGAGACTTGAGCCTCAGGTTAAGATTCTTCCTTGATGAGCCGCCCCCGTCCTGGCGGAGCCCCGTGTCTCCACATGGGGTGGTCAGCCCTGCTGCAGGGTCACATTCTGGGTGTGGGCACCCCTGGGTGAACGCCTCCGTGTTTTTCTTTCAGTGAAATGCAGCGTTTCTCACGCAGCAGCTGTTATTCCAAGTGCTTTGCAGGTGCAGACTTGTTCTGTTTGTCCATGACTTTCATTCTGTTTAACCCAAGGATGCTAAGAGACTGAGCTATGTGCATTTCATTGATAATGCTAATAATGGTCCAAGCCTCTGTCATAAATAGCTCTGTAATTTAATAGAAACATTTAATTAATAATATAGTTTAATTCAAGAGTCTTGCTTTACATTTCACTGTTTATGTAGTTGGGATGCGGTCTGTGAGAGAGAATTAGAAACTTTCCAGGAATGTGGAGACACAGGAGAAATCTGGTGAGTTGGATAAAAAATTGTTATGATCCAGAAGGTTGTGTATATGTTATATACACAGACATAGACATCACTTAATGTAAATCCTGAGTCAAAGAAAACATGAAAGTTTTGGGAGCCCTGGATTGAATCTGGCTTTAGTGTTCAGATTTAAGGTATCTCTTCCCTCTTTTAAAGACTCATTTAAATTTGGTCAGAGTATTAAGAAATTACTTCCACTTTATAGTTGTCTTTTTAAAATATTCAATGTGATTTTGAGCCACCAACGTCTACAGGTGTTACTGCTGATATCAAAAGGCATCAATACTGTTCTTAACTATTTTCTCTTTTTGGAAGTATTTTCTTCTAAATAACAATAGAGACAAAGATTAACTCATTGTTAATACTACCTCTTATTTTTAAAAAAGATGGAGTGAGACTTTAGCTGGCAATTAAGACACCGTGTCCCACATCCAAGTACCTTGATTCTTCTCTCAATCCCAGCTTCCTGCTAATGCTCTAGCGATCTTGACCCAAAAACCCTGCTGCTGGGGCCCCTGGCCGATAGGCTGGCATGTGACTGTCTTTGTGATTTGTGCTCATGGTCTTGGAATTCTTTCTGTTGAACATCTCAAAAAAAAAAAATTCATTGCTTCAGCCTGTCTAGCTTGATCATTGCGGGCATTTGGGGAGTGGACCAGTATATGGGAGATCTCTGTCTCTCTGTGCCTCTCAAAAAAAAATTTATAGGGCCAAAATGGCGTAGCGGGTTGAGCCACCTCCTGCAGTACCAACATCCCGTGTGGGCACTGGTTCGAGCCCTGGCTGCTCCACTTCCAGTCCAGCTCCCCGCTAATGCACCTGGGAAAGCAGCTGAAGATGACCCAAGTCCTTGGGCCTCTGCACCCATGTGGGAGATCTGGATGAAGCTGCTGGCTCCTGGCTTCAACCTAGCTCAGCCCCAGCCACTGTGGTCATTTGGGGAGTGAACCAGCAGGTGGAAGATCAATCTCTTTCCCTCCCTCCCTCTTTGTAACTCTGCCTTTCAAAGAAATAAAATAAATCTTAATAAAATTTTAACTGGCCATGTGTTATAAACAAATGAGAAAGGATTGTAACTTTTGCTGTCTGTTACTTGATTTAACAAAAATCTTTATAACAGTTTTGAAGAGGAGAGTATGATTCAACTAATAAGGTGGATGCCGAAAGAGAAGATTCCACTGGATGCTTCAGTGCTTGATGTTGGAAATGGAAATGGTGTTTTCCTGGTTGAACTTGTTGGTACTTTTTGTATTCATGCGTTTGAACCAAATTTTAAACTGCCACTTTAAAAGTCTCAGTAGTTGAGATTAACCATCTGAAGATAGAGTAGTGGGCAGTCATGCAATTTATTTTGGGAATTTCCATGGAACTAAAGGGAGGCTTCATGCACTGTGAAGAACCACAGTGAGTGGTGTTGGTCATAATCCTGAAAGCAGTGATTCTGAATGTTGAAATCCCAGAAGATCAGAATTATTAGTCCAGATGCTTAAAGTGTAACATCCTGAAAATCATAAACCCAAAAGATTAAAATCCCAAATTTTGAAATTCTGAAAAATCTCAATTCCTATTAAGTGGAAAAAACAGCTATATAAAATTGGTAGAAGGCTGGATTCTTGGGAAGGGATTAGTGCATTTTCATTTATCCACAGGATACTGGCATCATGTTAGGTGGAATGAAGGCCTGGAAACCTGGTAAAGCATCATTTTGGGTGTGTGTTTGAGGGTTTGTCCGGTGATTAGTATGTGTGTGTCTGAGTGGGGTGGAGGAGGGGAGTTCAGCCCTCAGCATAGACGACACGCTCCTGTGGAGTGGTGGCCTGAAGAAATCGAGTGCAGAAGGCAAGTGGGGCCGTTTCTGAGGCTGGGGCAGTTTTCTTCTGTGCCTTGGGCATCAGAACCACAGGCCCACTGGTCTTTGGGCTCCTGAGTCCTCAGCATCTGAGCCTTGAGCCAAGAGATCTGCCATTGGCTTCTCTTGTTCTGATGCCCTTGGACTTATCCTGTGCCGTGCGACTGGCATCCTGGGTCTGCTGCTTTCAGATGACCTGTCATGGGGCTTCTCAGCCACCAGAATCATGTGAGCCAATTCCTCTAATAAATCCCTTTACTTGCATATCTGTTCTGTATCTCTGGAGAGCCCTGATTAATATAGATTTAGTCGTTTTTTTTTTTTTTAAAAAGACTTGTTTATTTATTTGAGAGACAGAGGGAAACTGAGATCTGTTTTTTTTAAAGATTTATTTATTTACTCGAGAGGCAGAGATAGGCAGAGGTGGGGGAGACGGGGTGAGAGGTCTTCCATCTGCTGGTTCTCTCCCCGGATGGCTGCAGTGGCTGGAGCTGTGTGGTCTGAGGCCAGGAGTCAGGAGCTTCTTCTGAGTCTCTTCTCCCGGTCTCCCACGTAGTCCAGGGGCCTGGGGCACTTGGCTGTCTTCTGCTGCTTTCCCAGGCCATCAGCAGGAGGCTGGATTGGAGGTGGGGTGGCCGGGACTTGGGCCAGTGCCTGTATGGGATGCTGGTGCTGCAGGCAGGTGCTTGACTTGCGCTCCAGCGCTGGCACCAAGAGACAGAGATCTTCCACCTGCTGTTTCTCTCCTGAAATGGCTGCGGCATTCGAAGCTGGGCTGGGCTGAGGCCAGGGACTGGGAGCCTCGTCTGGGTCTCTATGTGGGTGATGGGGGCCTGGGCGCTTCAGCTGTCTTCCGCTATTATCTTAGGTGTGTTAGCGGAGAGGTGGAGCAGCTGGGACTTGAGCTCGTGCCCATGTGGAATTCAGGAGTTGCAGGTGGCAGCTTACCCCACTATGCAATAATGCCCACTACTCCTCCTGTGAGGAAAAAAAATATGTATGGGTTTTAATAATTTCTATCATAATAAATGTGCCTTTTAATTCCATTTTCCTCAAACTTTTTGGAGTACCTTCTTACTTGTGTGTATGTGTTTGTTTGAATCTCATTTACAGTTACAAACTGGCAACCATTTTGGTGTGTTTTAACTTATTTTCCCCCAATTAGTATTATGCATCATCAATCATCAATCATTTTAAGATTAATTTTATTTATTTGAAAGAGTTTTACACACACACACACTCACACACCACACACACTCACACACACACATCCAGAGAGAGAGAGAGAGAGAGAGAATCTGCTGGTTTACTCCCCAAATGGCTGCTACAGCTGAGGCTGGGGCAGACCAATTCCAGGAGCCAGGAACTTCTTCTGGGTCTCTGGTATGGGTTCAGGGGCCCATCTTCCACTGCTTTCCCATGTGCATTAGCAGGAAACTGAATCAGAAGTGGATCATCCAACACTCAAACCGGTGCTTATATGGGATGCTGGCACTGCAGGTGGTGGCTTTACCCACTACACCACAATGCCAGCCCCACATCATCAGTCTTAAATTTGTATCCACAATGAATGAAAATGATCAGCAAAAACCCTTGCTTGTTTCTATTTACAGGTGAGAAAAGCATGTGATTTGACTGTAATTCCATCCAAGGTCCAAGGTTAAGTATTTGCATGTCTTTTATATTGCATTGCTGTTCTAGAGACACAAGGATTTCTTGTATCCTAATTTGATTAATTCAACAATTTGCCTCCTGGCAGTCCTAATTAGAAACAATAAACAAACGTGTGGTCAGAGTCTACAAGTTATGATTGTTAAATTAACTTGTCCTATGCTTTCTACTGGCAGCTCTTTGGTAAATTTTATGTATTTCTTGTCCTTTTTAATATTTTAAAAATTCTATAAAGGGAACAAATTTCATATGTGCAGTTTTAAGAACATAATGGTACTTCCCACTCTACCCTCTCTCTCCCTCACTCCCACCCTCCTTCCTTCATTCCTTGTTTTTCCTTTAGTTATTACAATGACATACTTTTAATTTTATTTATATTCACAAACTTAATGCTCCAATGAATACAGATTTCAACAAGCTATAAGTAGGAAAAAAACACTGTTCTCAAGTATACAGACAAGGTCTATACTCAGATCTCAAAATGTGAATTTCCCTCATATGCATTGCTTTTTTTGTACTCTGAATTAACACAAATAAGGGAAAACATATGATGCTTGTCTTCTTGAGAACGGGTTACTTTGCTAATCAAAATAGTCTCTGGTTACACATATTGTGTTGTGAGAGACAGGAATTTGTCCTACATTAATGGCTAAATCATAGTCCACCATACATACATACATATATATATATATATATGCATATACACATATATATCCACAGTTTCTTTATTCAGTCTTCAGGTGATTTAAATATTAGTTGATTATAAGTCATAGCTATTGTGAATTGAGCTGCTACAGACATTGGGGTACAAATAATACTTTCATATGCTGATATCATTTCCTTTGTGTAAATTCCCAGGAGCAGAATGACTGTGTCAGATGGTAAAACTTTCAGATTTCAGAGGAATTATCAAGCTATCTTCCACAATGGTTGTACTAATTTACATTCCCAGCTAAAGTGTATTAGGGTACCCCCCCAACTAGCATTTGTTATTCATTAATTTTGGATGACAGCCAATCTAAATGGGGCGAGTGAAACCTCACTGTGGTTTTTATTTGCATTTCCCTGATGGCTGTGATGCTGAGCATCTTTTCATATGTCTGTTGGCCTTTTGTATTTCACCTTTGAAAAATGGTGTTCAATACGTTAGTCCATTTCTTAACTGGATTGTTTTGCTGTTGAGTTTCTTGAGCTCCTTATATATCTTGGATATTAATCTTTCATCGGATATATAATTTGCACTATTTCCCCCCATTCTGTTGGTCGATGTTTACTTTGTCGTGTGTTTCCCTTGTTGTACAGAATATACTTAGCTTGATATACACCCATTTGTCTGTTTTTGCCTTTATTTTCTGTGCCTTCCAGGGTCTTCCACATGCTTGGTTAAATTTATACCAAGGTATATATTTTTTATATCAATTGTGAATGAGTCTGATCTTACAACTTCTTTCTCAGCAATGAAATAGGCTATATGTTTTTGTGTGTTGATTTTATATCCTACTTTTCAAAACTCTGTTATAAAGTCTAGGAATCTCTTAGTGCAGTCTTTTGGTTCCTCTATGTTTAGGACCATATCATCTGCAAACAAAGATAAAACATGACTTCCTCCCTTCCCATTTGTATCCCTTTGTTTTATTTGTCTTGTCTAATGGCTCTGGCTAAAACATCCAGCCCTATATTGGATAGTATATATCCTATAGTGGATTTATCCTAATTGGAGATATATATCCTATATTGGACAGTAATGGTGAGAGTAAGCATACTGGTCTGGTTCCAGATTTTAGTGAAAATGCTTCCAGCTTTCCCTTATGTGATTATTTAAATATTTAAAAAATAGAAGAGTAAAAATAGTTAATTCCTTAATCTGATCAAGATAGTCTAAAATGTACATGCAACAGTTAATACAGGATCATTGAATGCTTTCTCTGGGAGTGGACTCAGACAAGATTCCCTCTCCTTGTTACCTCTCCTCAGCATTTCACTGGATGTTTAGTGATGGAAACAAATAACAAACAGGAAACTTGAACTATAAGGATCTATTTTGGGCAACCATACATGTGGATCCCATCATTATATGAAAGATAACCTGACAATAATTAAACACAATTACTGGATCCAAGATCAATAAATGAAACTAACACCATTACTATGTAACACAAAAAATCTTATTAAACAACAAAAAAGACAAGGAAACAAATATCTCAATAAAAAATAAGTAAAAGAGGATTAATCTATGTACTATCTTTTAACATTCTTCAAAACAATATATTTAAAAAAGTCCACAGACCTAACAAAAAATGAGTGTAAAATATGAAGAAAAAGGTCCAGAAGCCAAAGAACAGTCAGTGAATTGTAACTTCCCCTGCAACAGGTTATGTCCATCAACAAATCACAGTTTCGTAGCAGGAAAATGGACACAGGAGGCAAGGAGGGATTCCTGGAGGTGAGACCACCTAGAAGCTGATGGCTGCTCCCACTTTAGGGAGGTTCTGGGCCCAGGAGGAGGAGGTGGCTTCAGATCTGAACTCAGACCCTGTGGCTCACTCCTGCTTCACATCGCACAATCACAAATGGCCCACCTAGCTATAGGGAGGATTCTGATTGCCTGCATCTGTTCTGATGTGCGTGCTCAGAGGCTGTGCAAATTGCTCAATCAGCAGGATCCTTGGTTGCAACACTACCTAATCTTGCAAGATTATCATTTTGGGAGCTGCCATAGTTGCAGATTGCTTTGAGGTGTCAGTCAGTGGCTCATACTCCACTTTCTGTGACTGTCCCTCACCATAGATGCTGGAAACCAGGAGGCTGGGATACCTTGGAAGCTGGGGTATTGGACATGGTGGGTGTAGTTCTGGGCATCAGGTAGGGGGAGCATGCAACTTATTGAAATTGTATGGAAATGCTTGTAATGAGGCCCAGGAGAACCATGGTTAGCTCTGAAATCTATGGATGCAGGCTCCTTCTTGGAAAGCCTCTTCCCTAATTCTTTTGGCCTATGAAGTGTGGACTGGAGGAGCACCCAGCACATCATACATCCTGTCCTGTCACTGTAAGCAGCTACTCTGGATCACTCACAAAGTACCTGCTGGGAAACTCCACACCCACAGCTCTAGTCTCCCCCATTGTGTAGTGAGGATATGAAAGTCATTAAAGAGAACCAGGACTGCAGGGTGAAGCTGTGGTTTGTGCAGTTTTTGGTTACTCCTTTCTCCAAAGTGGTTACATGAATCCCATGACTTTAACCCACTGTTAATTCAAAACCATTTGTTCAGTCTCCATGTGTTTCCATATGATGTAGAGAATCCTGAGTCGTTGAATTCCAGCTTTATTCCATTTTTCATCTAAGATGATGCATGATGTTATTTCAAATTTTGAATTTGCTGAGACTTGAATTATGGCCTAGAATATGGTCTATGCTTTTAAGAGTATCAGATACATCAAACTAATATGGCGTCTGCAATTAAATTGATTTGTTGTTCAGGAACAGTCTAGAGACTTCCCTTTATTGTATGATTTTATGGGTTATAATTGCTGTAATTTTATTTTTAATAATGAGAAAAGTGAGAGTGATAAAGCACATTGTTGGAATTTTAGTACTGTTGGAAACTGAAAGTATTGGCTTTTTATAACAAAATAAGGCAAATCAATGAAAAAGGAAAATTATGTGAACACACTTCGTAAAAGTCCACATACAAGTAAAAGTGCATGAGGAGCCAGCATTGTGGCAGAACAGGTAATTCTTCTGCCCATGACAGCATTCCATATGAGCACTGATTCATGTCCTCATGGCTGCTGCACTTCCAATACAGCTCCTAACTAATGGCATGGGAATTCTGCTAAATATGGAATAGTTCAAAGAGAAAGCACAGTTCTTTGATAACCCTTTCTTGGTTGCATTTTACATATCATCTAATGTTGAGCAGCACAATATGATAAAAATAGTTTTTTGAGGAAAAAACAGGCAAGTCACAGGACAGAATAAAACACCTGGTCACTCAATAGAATGGATTATTTGTTTTTAATAATTTATTTTTATTACTGTAGAGAGAACAGATTTCATGTAATTCAAAGGCACAATTCTAAGGTTATAATGATATTTATCTCACCTCCTCTTCTGTATTTCTTTTCTAATTTTTCTGATAACAGTTTTATATACAGGCTTAATGTACCACTAAATAAAGAGTTCAACAAGTCCAAAGTAGAAAGACCACTGTTCACAGGAGTAAAAACAAGCATTATAAATAATAATCAAACCCCAACATGAAAGTTTCACTCACATACAATAAATTTGCTTTGTACTCTGTATATTGGCCAGTACACATCAGAGAAAACATGATTTTTTTCATTCTTCATTTTGAGGTCATCAACTCCCTGTATATTTTGGATGGTTTCCTAGTACCTTTAATGTTCATAGTTTTTCAGAATCTTCTAGGCCCTAGTGCTATCATATTCATTGACAGGAAATATATATTTACTCTTGTGAATATTTAGAGAACTATCTTATATTTTTGAAATTGTCCAAAATGTAGTTCTCTGTGCCATATTTTTCATCAAGTGGCTCACAATTCTCTAAGTTGTGTAACTCTTTCCATGTACATGATTTTGCAAAATTGTGTCACTACAGTGGACTTATTCAGATATTTAAATTAATGTATTCTCTTTATATTTTGTGTTTTAAGTACTCAAAATAAAAATTTGACCATAAATATTTCTTAGGTCAAGGCACTTTTATGTTGACTAAAAATTAATATGTTAATTAGTATGGTCTTTTCTAATTTAAGTTCCTTATTTTTTGCTATTCTTTAATGTAATTTTAAGGTTTGTATTCATCTATGCCATCTCTATATGATTGTGACACTATTTCTACAAATTTGTCTTAGAATTTACCACTGCCAACTGAATGTGTAATTAATAACCTTATTTATGACAATACTAACACAAGGAAACAGTGGATGCCATAGTTTGGTTTATGATTCTGTGGTCATAAACTCAGTTTAAATGCTGGAAGTTATCCTAGAAGCTGTCATGAGTACAGGATTTCAACACATGACAGGGCCAGTACCATCATGGTCATCAGCACGGGATACTACATCTTTCTGGATGTTACTGGAGTTGTAAATTATTTTCTGATCTTTCAAATATTCCAAAATACATTTCCCTGACATAAGATTTTTCCAGTTTATTTTGGACTCTTCTATAGAAATACCCATCCACATGTTTATCTTTAAATTATGTCTCACACTAAAAGACTCATTGTTACTTAAGGCAAAGCAAACTTTTCCCTTGCCATGTGCATCAGATTTGTATTTTTTATATTGACTTTCATTTTATTACTTTAACCTGTGTTTATCACTATCCACATGGAATCTAATCTTAGCACTGCCATAATATGGTCATTCTTTGGGCATTTATATTGTAATGCCATGAATTTACTCAAAATTATTCAAGTTGTGTTAGCAAACTCCATTTTCATGTTCTATAAAATCACTTTTGGACATCAAATTGTTTCAGACTTTCAAGGACACATGTGTTTTATAGTTTATTTTTAGGGGCTCAAAATTGTTCATTTACTTTAAGTTTTCCACGTATTAGGTTGAAACACTGTTATCTTAGCTCTAAGATTATTGAATTCAATGGCATAAAATTTCTTAATTTAGGAGTGTACAAATTTTCTGTAGTTTAAATGTTTATTTAGGGCTGTTTTATCTATGTCTGTTAGATCACCTTGTGGCCTTATTTCTACTTCTACTACATTTGTTATTGGCACACCCAATAGTCAATATACCACATAAATGTAATTGTCACATTTTTCTATTTTACATATTGTATTTGAATTTGTTTACTACAACCCGAGTAAATAGACAATAACCTAATTTGTACCAATTCCAGTGCAGGAAATTTAAGGCTACCATTTTAATGACATTAACTCTCCAATTTCTGGAAGTTATCCAAACAAATTTTATGTTCACGGTATCTGAGTACAATCTAGGGCCTGTTCCATCAGTCTCATTAACAGGGGAGTTCAGTTTTAGCCTTACATACATTCATGGAACTTGAAATTAACATTTCAATTTGAAAATTTAGGCCAATATTTTTGGTCCTTAAGTTCATTGAACTCACTCTTTTTCACAATTATTTGTCTAGGCTAATCCCAGCCCTGTGAACCTGTGGCCATGATGATTTAAATTTTTATTGTGAGGTCACCATCACACTCAGCATTCTCTAAGTTGTCCTGGAAACTTTCAGGTATACAGTGTCTCAGAGCCATCTTAGCTGAGCATAATCATTCCTTCTTCTCGGGTAATATATACATACATATATATATACATATGAAAAATTATCAGCTATATATAATTTATATGTATATATATAAAACTTCTGGATTTTTACAGAACTTTAAATCATTGATTATTCAGTTTTCTGATTATTCAAATTTTCCACTGTGTGTCTAGATATTGGCACATTTCTGGACAAATATGTGGGTAAGTGGCAGGATCTTGATGTGGTTTTGATCTAAGGATTATATGTTTATCTAATTTTAGAGGTTGGTAGAGAGAGAGAGAGACAGAAAATATGAGTTACATCTGGTGGCTTAATCTCCATCTAGTAATGACCAGTGGCTAGATTATTATGTAACTCTGAACTATGCTTTTTAGATAATAAACTTTATACATATATATAAATTTTTAAAGAGCTGCTCTATATACAAATATAAAATAAATGAACTATATATATACACATATGTATGTATAAAAGCATGGATTATTTTTCACAATAATCTTTGAAATGTGCTTGTCACATTATTATTTTTACTATCAAGTCATTGATTTCTACTCATAATATTGAAAATATGATTTATATTCTAGCCGGTAACCTCTTTGTGTATTTTGTTATGTATACATCATGACATAGTGTATGCTGATCCTAGTACAGAGAACTGTAGCTCATCTTGCTTAACTTTTTCATTGTGGTTTCATCAATTTGATGAAAATACTTTATGTTTTCTCTTTATTTTTCTTTAAACTATTTTTTGAACTCTTTTACTTAATTTAGGATTAACTTTACAGGCATTAATTAAATGAAAGTACATTTTTTAAAAAATTCACAGTGGTAATGGGAGAGGGAGGAGGGAGAAGAGTTTGAGCATGTGCGAGAGGGAGTGGAGAGTGAGAAGTCTCATTATATTTCTAGATCAGTATGTATTAAATACATGGCACTTGTATAATAAATAATATTTTTTTAAAAAAATAAAATTATCAGGATTGTGAAAAGAGATCTATGCACAAGAATATTCACTGTGTTGCTTCTTAAAATAGAAACGTGGAAATAAGCCAAAAGTTGAACAATGAGAGAATGAATAATTAAGGCACCAAAAAGTGTACCTCAATTTATATTCCTTGATTTTAAAACTTTTCTCATAGTAAAATAATTTACTGGATTATTATTCACTAAATTCTTTTATGTCTACTGATAACTCTATTATTTATCCTATGTTCTAATTACAATCATCAAAATGTAATTCACATGATAAAATGTGTATTATTTTAATTTTTGTCTTTATTCACTAGTGTGATCTGTATATATTGTCAATATCCTATTTGGGTGGCTTTTTCTTTATGACATCAACATGATGAAAATTACTTCAATTCTCTTTGCAACTATTTCATGCCCCAAATTCTCAGCCCATCTTGACCCAATCTTTCTCAGTTCTCAGATGATTTTTTTAGCTTTTTTGGAATTCCAGAGGAATATAAATTAACTTTTCATCCTCTGGGAACTGAGAAAGATTAGGTCAAGATGACCTGAGAATTTGTGGCATAAAATAGTTGCAAAGAGAATTTAAATAATTTCCATCATGTTATGTCATAAGAAAAAGCCAAGCAAGTAGGATACTGATGATATAAAAAGGTCACACTAGTGAATAAAGACAATAATGAAAACAATGCACATTTTATCATGTGAATTATATCCTGATGATTGTAATTAGACTATAAAGGATATATATATATATATATATATATATATAAAGGATATATATAGGATAAATAATAGAGTATCAGTAGACGTAAAGGTGTTTGGTGAACAATAATTTAGTAAATATTTTTACCCTGAGAAAAGTTTTACAATCAAGGAATGTAAATCAAGGAATATTTTTGGTGCCACCTGTGGGGAGCAACTGAGACTAGACTAAATTACTGGAACTAAGACTAATTCTATGCATCTGATCTCCCATCATATGGCGCTGAGAGAGTAAACAACTTCTACACAGCTGCCTCACCAATTCGACTAATAAGCTGCAGGAGCTGATCCTGCTCCTGATTGGAGGAGAGCAGCATGCTCAGCGTGTGGGGAGAGAACGCCAGGAGAGTTGGGATTGGTGGAAGAGGACTATAAAGGAGGAGAGAGACAATATGCACCAGGAACATCTGAGGAACATCTGAGCAACCCCTGAAAGAGCCGGCCGGTGGTGTGCCACTCCTCCGCAGAAGCGGGGAAAGCGGTGGGGGTGCCGCCCCTCTGCGGAGGAACGGGGGCCGGCAGCAAACCTGGGAAGGGCCGGGGAAAAAGAACAGCGCAGGATCTGGTGTCGTTCCTCCACGAGTGGGGGAGCGACAGCCACCTTAATTCCTTATTCATTCTCTCATTGTTCAAATTTTGGCTTATTTCCATTGTTTCCATTAGAAGTAACAAGCAAATATCCTTGTGCATAAATCTCTCTTCACAATCGTGGTAATTTTAATTTCCTTCTTTTTCTAAAATTTATTTATGTTATACAAGTTCTGTGTATTTCATTTATACTGATTTAGAAATACTGTGATACTTCTCACCCTACCCTCCATTTTGCCCATGCTCCAAACCTTCTTCCTCCTCCCTCTCCCATTATCACCAATAATTTTCATAAAGATCTTTCAGTTTAATTAATGTTTGTAAAGTTAGCCCTAAATTAAGTAAAAGAGTTCAATAAGTAGTGTAAAGAAAATGGACAAGCATAAAGAATTTCCATCAAATTGATGAAACCACAATGAAAAAGTTAACCAGGATGAGCTACACTTTTCTGTACTAGGATCAGCATACACTACATCATGATGAATACATGTCATAGAAATAAATGAAGAAGATTAAAAGTAATGTTCCAATAAGGATATGACCCGTATTCTGATTACTGGAAGTGACAGCAATAATGTAAAAGCAATACTAGTGTAACAAGCATATGCAACAGAATTGGGTCAACCAACATGTATTAAATTTGCATTAATATTGAGAAATAAAAGAAATCAACAATGATAAGTAAAGAAAATAGGCCGGCGCCGTGGCTCACTAGGCTAATCCTCCGCCTAGCGGCGCCGGCACACCAGGTTCTAGTCCCGGTCGGGGCACCGGATTCTGTCCTGGTTGCCCCTCTTCCAGGCCAGCCCTCTTCTGTGGCCAGGGAGTGCAGTGGAGGATGGCCCAGGTGCTTGGGCCCTGCACCCCATGGGAGACCAGGAAAAGCACCTGGCTCCTGGCTCCTGCCATTGGATCAGCGCGGTGCGCCAGCCGCAGCGCGCCGGCCGCGGCGGCCATTGGAGGGTGAACCAACAG